TTAGCTAAATTATTAGAGCATTTAAGTTTATAATAATCATCACAGTTAATTTCCATGAAATTCTCATATAATGTTTTATAATCAATGAAATATTTCCTATTGCAATTATTCATGTCTGTATTACAATTTTCACAGCTAATTTGAAGAATTATTGGATAATGATCTGTAATATTATATTTATAAATGATTGGATGAAAAATTTTGTGATTATCCTTAGATCTTATGAATATATGATCCAAACAAGACTTTTGATCTCCTACTACACGTGTAAATTTATTAATTAATGATTGGAAGCCATATTCACTCAGTATGTTACAGTATTCATTAGCATAATCCCTATTTGAGAGAATATCAATATTCAGGTCACCAATTATAATTGTATTTTCCTTATTCGACTTTCGAATATCATTCAAAAACATTTGAAATTGAAAATTGAAATCATATGGGCTAATAGATGGAGATTTGTAAATAGCAAATATATTGAGAATATTGGTTTTGCTTATATATATCTTGATATGAATTACCTTTATTAAACCTATTGAAATAATTTCATGACTATAACTATATTTATTTTTGACATAATTATGCTATAACACCATCATTTTGATTTAAACTCCCGTTATTGTAAATTAAATCGTAACCATCCAAATTAAATAAGTTTGTATTTAAAAGTTGAAAGGTTTCCGTGAAAATAATCACATCAAATTCTTCCAACTGTTTTATTAGTAATATTTCTTCATTAAAATTTTTATTTATGCTGCGAATATTATTATGAAAAATTGTGAATTTACTTTTATTTTTTATTATTCTGTTTTGCTTATAATTAAAGAAATTTTCAATCAATTTTGTATCAACGATACTATCATCCAGCCTTTGAATATATGAATCCATAAAAAATAAAAATTTATAAAAGTTATGTGATGAAATAGTCAAATGAAGAATTTATCAATGAGATTCCGCCAATTTTGTTATATCGCTTTCATCATTTATAATGATAGGTTTTTCATTTTCATTTTTTCTGACGAAAATTTTACTATTTTTCCACCATATATACTTATAATTCGACCTCAACAATTCCTTAGTTTTTCCCAATAAGTATTTGTTCCTTTTCGTCAGTTCTTCATTAATATATATTATAGTTCTTCTAGCTTTAATTCCCAAATCTTCAGTTGATAGAGCACCATTCAATTTGAAATATTGTTTCGCGGCATTTGCAATCTTGAATTTTGTTGCCTCATTTTTCAAACTGATTTTTGTTAGTTCTTGAGAATTCTCAGATATCTTCTTTATTCTCTTTATATTTACGACTTCTCTGGATTCTTTCTGGATGCCAATTTTGAAAAATACTTTCTGTATAATTTCTTCGTCATCAATATATTGTTGTTCTGGTATACCTTTGATTTCGATGTTATTCTTAAGTTCAATTTGTTCTTTTATGTCAATCTTTTGTTTCAATGATGAAATTTCATGTTTTATATCATTGCTGAAAATAGAAAGGTTTGTCACAGTAGATTTCCTTCTTGAAAATCCATGTTATTCTGGTATTAAAATCTGTTCTATATGCCTTAATAAACGATCATGTAAAAGTAGTAGTTTGTCCCTACTTCATTTCCTTCTACACCAGAATGTCCCGGAACCCATAGAAGGGTCACTGTATTTCTGTTAGCTAGCTCGTTCAGTTCTTCTTGGCATTCCAAAACCATATTATAGCTGATGCCCATAGAGCTCAGCACTTTAATGGCCGCTTGACTATCGGACATGATAATGATATCTGATTTTGAGATCATTTCAATGAATACGTTTCATACTCATAAAAAAATTATGTTTAGATTTGGGTGAGGTAGGTGTCATATGACAACGAGATATCAACTCGATTGTAATACTTGAATTTCACTGGTAACGGGAACTGATAACTGCGCATTTTCGTATTTTATAGCATATCATTCTAAAGCGTTACCGTGAGTCGTATAAAAAAATAATTCAGGTAAAAAATAATCAATTTTTGACGCCATTTTCTAAGATGGCGGATTGCACTGGCAGTTGCCGAGGTCACAAATATGGAAACTTAATAATCACCGTGAACTTGCAAACATATCCACAAATCAAAACTACCTAACCTTTTGCTGGGCAATGTCCTCATGGTCCCTGGCTACTGAACTAATAGCAATTTGGTTGGATTTCTTGATTATTTCCTGTTCACATATTTTCGACTTGTAAAAAAAATAAAAACCTGCCCCACAAATTTTGTTATCCAAGATCATATTTCACAGCACTGCTTTGCTTCCTCTTCATTGCTGTCTTGCTTTGCGTTGAAAGATTTGGCATAGCATTTGTTCACTCTTCAGTATTGAACAATATTCTATCAATATTTACCGGTGTGAAGTTGGCAGCCATTTTCCAGCAGCCATTTTTGATCTGGCAGCCAAATCACTATTGTCGTCGGATTTATTTTTAAATAATCAAATAAATCTAGAACCTCAGACAAGTTTAGCCATGTTGATATTCTACACAAACATTACCAAATAGGTAAATAACATCATGTTCTGAGATGATCAATTTGTCTAAGGGGTAGTTGCCAGTGATACCGCCCTTCTAAATATTGAGAAATTCATAAACACCCCACAGAAAAGTTTAGACAAGCTTACATTCTGCACAGGTATTACTTAATAGGTAAATAACATAATGTGTCCAAGGGTTGGTTACTACCCATCTAAGTATTGAAAAAATCATAAATAGTGTTCAGAAAAGTGTAGCCTAGTTAACATTCCACACAAACAGACATTACTAAATGGGTAAAGAACATCATCTTTTGAGATGATCAATTTGCAGGCCCTCCAATAAGGGGTAGTGACTACTCTTAGTATTGAAAAAATTATAACTGACTTTCAGAAAAGTTTTTCCAACTCAATAGTCTACACTCGAGCCTACACATACACTACTAAATAGGCAAAGAACATCATATTCTGAGAGGATCAATTCTCAAGCCATCCAAGGGGTATTTACTACCCTTCTTAGTATTGAAAAAATTATGAACACCCCTCAGATAAGTTCAGCCAAGAAAATATTCTGCACAGATCTTACTATTTAGGCAAAGAACGTCATATTCTGAGATGATCAATTTGCAGGCTGTCCAAGTGATAGTTACTACCCTTCTAAGTATTGAAAAAAAAGCATAAATAGCCCTCAGAAAAGTTTAGCCAAGTCAATATTCTAATCCAATGTTAGGAGCAATAAGAAGATGCAATCATATGCTCAACCAAAATTCGATATATCTCTCATACAATAGATTTATTGAACCTCATTTGAGATATTTGGTGCCATGTTATGTAAATGCCAGTGTGAATGTAATGAATAAACTACAAAGACTGCAAAACAAATCGATAAAGATTATATTCTCTACAAACTATCATACACCAACTGGCATGTTGTACAAAGACTGCATTCCTGAAAGTTGAACAACTAAAAAATCTTGAGCAGGTTAAAGTTTCATCTAAAATCAAGAATGTACTTATGAAAACAAGTGTAGAGCTGAAGCAAACTAAATACTATCACAGTTATATATAATAAGAAACTATTATGAACAAAAAAATATCAAAATTTTCCTATTTATCAAAGCATGAAAATCTATAACCTTATTCAAAAACCTGTATTGGAAGGAAGATAGTATATTATAACCTCACGAAGTATTATATAAGTAGAAACAGTATAGTTGAGCAGGTACAAATTAAATTTGAAATGTTGAAGATCATATAGGGTTTTCCTATAAACGTGTCAGAACTTTGAAATTTCACACAACTAAAACAAGTGATAATGCAGTCATTTTTATATCATTTGGAAGAGCTACATCTGACATTATATTTTAAAAATAACGTTGTTCAAATGTCCGCCTCGACTTCGTCTAGTTTCCTGTATCCTGGTGGTCCAGATTTCAATTACTTTTTGACACATATCACGTGGAATGTTTTCCATGGTGCGTCGAATGTGTTGTTTAAGGTCTTGAATTGTTCGGAGCCTACTTATTCTGTGTGAGATTTAACATAACCTCATAGAAAATAGTCGAGGCTCTGTAAGATCGCAAGATCTTACTGGCCAGTTTATGTCAGCATTCCTCGAAATGACGCGCCCAGGAAATCTTTCGTGCAATAACGCAATGGTTTCATGATATGTGTGGCATGTGGCACCATCTGTTGAACTGTATAATTCTCCATGACAAATATCCCATCAATTGCCAAATATAGGTGTGGAGTGTTATCTTCACATATCTTGCAGTGTTGCCGCTATTACATTTCAAAGTTCTGACAAGCTTATTTTGAACATTGTTATCTATTATTCTGTTGTATTAAGGCCTATTTGCCAGATCTTCGTTATCTGATTTGAGGTCAAAAATAAATTCTTTGAAAAAAAAAATAGGTAAAGAACATCATAATCTGATATGACCAATTTGCAGGCCGTCCAACGGATAGTTACTCCCCTCCTAAGTATTGAAAAAATATAAATAGCCTTCAGAAAAGTCTAGCCAAATTTATATTCTGCTCAGAAATTACTGAAAAGGTGAAGAACATCGTGTATTTGTTTCTCTATGATACTGAGTTGAAGTTAATTTCTTAGTAACTCTTACTATTTTTCCAGTTCAATATTTTTATTTATAAAGGTATACAATATTCGAAAATTCTGTATAGTAAATCCAAATCCACATCCAAATCTAGATCAAATAAATATATAGATTATATAGAGGTATGTAGATAGATAAATACTTTTGATCGGCTTTTTAACGAGAATTATCTCTTTTGTTTCATATATTTTATCAAGGATAACTAAAATGGCATTTAGCATACCACGCTAGTTTTTCGAAGGTCGTTGGTATTGACCCTCTGAATGCAAAACTATTTTCCTATTATATTTGTATCTCCTACCCCCATGTTGTGCAACTTTATATCTTGGTTTGGTCACACTGTATATTTTATGTTTGCAATGCTTTAATTCACAATTTTTTCATTCAGGAACGAAACACATGACACTTGCCCAATTTGCAGAGAAGTGTTGGACAGTACAGATGAAACATGGGTAATGTCTGAAGTGCCAAAAGCTGAAGAAATCAGCAAGGAAATCCAAGATAACCTCATGGAGTTGACAAGGGAAAGATCGCCACCTTGCAACCCATCTTGAATTTTCAAATTTTTACTCAAATTCTGCCAAATTCGTATATTGCAAATAGCCTGTACATTATTGTAAAGGGTTTCCTAATTCCAGGATTAACTGGCATTGAAATTTTATTCAATAGGAAATAATCCATAATCCTTCAAAAGTGTTATAAAATTTCCCTGCAACGAAGAAAAACCTAAAGGGAAAAAACAATGTTTGAGAGAGATGCATTCACTTTGATGATCTATTTTTTTCATTTGTGATACCACAATTGATACCAATTGGCTGAAAATATTTGAATGATGTTACTTGTCGATTAAAGCAGAAAGCTGGTGTGTTTATGGACTTAACTTTCAGGAAAAGTAATACACTCCTGGATAATAAATTCCAGGCAGAGATAGTTCAGGTTGAGTTTAGACAGTAATAACTTTTTCAAGTGTTTTTTTCGATTTGGTAGAATTTTTATCAGAGTTTGGAAAAAACAAATGGTACTTCTTCACCCCAAAACATGATGAAACTAAATTCTGCCGCTCAATTTTCCTGCAGGGTGTTAAGTATTGAAGGATAATTAAGGGTTATAAAGTACTTGTTTCTTTTTATAATGAAGAAGTCATCAGTATTTTTTGAGAACTTAAATTCAGGATAAAATTTCTACACGAATTTTCTTACTCTGCTGACAATTTGACCAAATCAGAAAACATAAAAGTTATGGACGAGACCTAATGAAAAAATGCAAGGGATATATTACTGATGAGTTTCTAACCTATTATTATAGCCATCTCTTCAACAATTTTCCAGTGAATCATTGCTTGACGAATATGAAGGAAGTCTTGAATGCGCCATGCCGTATCCTGCAGGCGTGGATAAATCCATGGATGGCGTATTTGCTTTTTTCATCACTATTTTTTTCTTAATTCACAATACTTCAACTTATTCTGGTGTGGGGACAACCATCTGGCTAGATATTTGCGTGCAAGACTATAAATGATATTGAAGAAATTCGAGCCTCCAGAAAACAAATATTCAGTAAACCGAAAACGAAACAGAGGCCCTGTAGGTCGCCAAACCCGTATTATGAAAAAAATCAGAAACACGTCAACTACATTTTCGAGGGGAATATCGTTCTAAAATATTTTTAGTCCGGCGGCGTTGCCGCTTCTAACACTTGGAGTCTAGCTGGAATGATTTCGTGTCTAAACTATTTATTATTGGTCAAGACGGCTTCTATGTCCCTATCTCATCTTTTGATTTACTATCTACTGGCATTTAATTGGAACAGATGCAGGGTGATCAGAATTCTGAATCTTGAACAACCCTGTATTTGATTCAAATAAATGTCAGTAGATAGTGAATAGAAAGTGATAGGGTTATATTAGCCGCTTTGACCAATGATGAATAGTTTCGACACAAAAAAATCCAAAAGTTGAAAAATATCTGTAATCATTGACCTCTAGATCCCAAGTGTGATGCACTGATGAAATTAGCTCTTGGAGGAGAATCTGAAAATGCAATGAAATACAAGGTGTTCCATTTGAAATAACAAATTTATTGCTTCTATTCGTTAGAAGCGACAACGCCGCAGGGCTAAAAATATATTGAAACGATGCCCCCCTCAGAGTTTTTTCATAATCCGGTTTTGGCGACTCTGTATCTCTGTTTCGTTTTCAAAGGGCCACCCTGTATGTTACATATATTAGGAGGCCGAAAGGTGACAAACTACAAAATAAAAGGTCTAAAGCCTCTTCAAAAAAAAGTCGATGATAGTGGCCCTAGGATGAAACGTCGAATTCCAAACACTATTTTATGTCTACGAATTTTCCGAAATTTCAAGGTTGCACATGTTTTTATTGAATACCGAATTATGCAATTCTACCACAATTTAACCAGTGTTTATTTTACAGTATACAATATCTCAATTGTATGCATTGCATTTTCTACACTCGATATATACATACTTATTTTTTTGATGTAGCTGAAATGGATTGAATTCAATTAGTTTCAGAAGATTTTTTCATGTTTCAATAGTTTATCACCGTTTGTATTTTTTTGTCAGTAAAAATGAAACTTTAAATCTACCTTTAATACTGATTTGTTATATTTTAAGTATTGAATATAGTCTTCACAAGTAAAATTTTTGTCTTTGTTGATTTTTAATGATTCTGAATGACTGGTTATTTCTATCACTGATGAGTGCCAGAGAACTAAAATGGAGAGATCAATATAAAATATTATTTTGCATCTTTTGTTGAAAACGAGGGCAGATTCGTTCCCGAAACGTCCGAAGATAAGTACAATTGAATATTTTTTCAATAAACCTACATTCTCTTCATACTTTAAGTATATATGAGTAAGAGAGATCAATGTTAGGTTAATTCATTGTAGGAGTATTTCCCTTGATGAAGCTACTGTGTTAAGGAAACATGTGTTGATAAGAATGTTGTGGAAATCTTATCGTTTGTGGAGTTTTCTACAGAGGAATTAAATTTTGCTTGTAAGAAAAATATTTTATTGTCTTAGAAAATAAATCAATATGATTTTATAAAAAAACTTAGTAATGTTCATTAAACATAATATATTCACTACATAACATATATTACCCATATTCTCAAGAAATACTGTTTTCAATATGACTGGGGATTATGGCTTCTGATGGAATTTCATCAATATTTTCAAGTTCAATTAGATGAGTGAAGGAATACGTCCATATTTAAGTTGAGTTGTATTGTTCAATGATGAGAAAGGAACAACTTTTCGGGTACAGTAAGTGCCCATCTTCAGTCAAATATAAAAATTAGGAAAGCTACAATAAAAAAATATAATTATAAACATTTAGGTCTGATCGATTTGACGAAATCATATGTATGATTGGTATGACAATAATTATATAAAGGAACATATTTTTTTCTCTTCTTGTTCAAATTTTTGATTGAAGGGTACTTACTATACCTTAATACATGTTTTCATCAATGAATTTTGTCTTGCCCTGGTGGCCACTTTATCTCTTTGGAGACGACTGTGAGTTACCAAAGCAATTTGCGAACTTTGAATGCACAACTAATCAAATATCAATAATAAAACGTGCATGTGTTGACATGCTTATCAACCACTAATGTGGTGACGTCATACTTGTGCCAGTATGACGTCATCGACAATTTTGCAAATAGCAAGCACCGTCTTCGAAAATGTTATTCTAAAGAGGAAATTTTTCCGCAAAAAATACGAATTTCATGATACGTACAGTGTGTCCAGTTTTCGATTTTTTGCGTCATATCTCAGTTATCTTTGGAGAAAGAACCGTGCGGTTTTCGCGGTCCATAACTGTTTCCGTTTATGAGATACAGGGCGATTTCGAAAATTTATACTATTTGGACCCCTCTATAACTACGAAGTTCCTGAGCGAAAATGTCAAATCATAATTTTATCCACATTTTATCTCATGCTTAAATTTTTAGAGAATAATGCAGAATCCAGTGGCGCACTCAATTCTTTTTTTCGGGGTATGGTTTTGGAGATACGACTGTATTTTATTAGCTCAATAAATCCCTTTCCTTTCCTGATATTTTCAAAAATGCTAAAATCACCAAAACATTGAATTTTAATAGTGGGCTATGGATTTCTCTTTTAAAAGAAGTTCCAATTGATGGGATATATCTTGCGATATTTCCAAGAAGAGGACAAAAGCAATTCGCGGTGGCCGGAAAACATATCTAAGCCAGGAGTTAGAAATGTTTACCCGTAGTTTGAACGTCATCGCAACGTCAGATGATGACTTTGGCTACCAGGAATACCAACACTGATTGACTAACAAAACACAAAACTAAAGTACCTGAGAGCAAAAAATAAATAGGTAGTTATAACAAGTTGACATTATGTAGAATAAACACCTGGTTAAATATTCACTAGAACAATAATTGCATTTCGGAATTATTCGGTAACTTATTCATTGAATTGTTCAAATTGATGTCCATTTCCTCTCCCACACTTTCTCAATACGTCTTAATGCATTCAAAATCATTAAAGGATGTCGACAAAATTCTTCAAGATTGTTTTGCCTCTTACTGTACTAACACCTATTGAGAAAGTGTGTCGTCAATTGAATAAGTTACTGAATAATTTCGAAATTCAATTGTTCTAGATTCAACTATTATACAATATAAATATAAAAAACTCAAGAAAACGGCTTTATTCCTCATATTTCTTGTGGAACGTTTTGGTGGAACATTCGCGAATGCCGTTTTTTCCTCCATCACCCTGTCCACCTTTTTCAGCATAGGTTTGATGATGGGGGAGCCATCATTACAACTCTCCTTGGAAGACAATCTGGGACTCTTACGCGAGATGATGGTCTGGTTTGGTGACGATTCGAATGATGAGACATCCTGTAGAACTGACATCTCATTTCTTGTGATTCGTTTCACTTTACTGAGCCTTTCATTATTTTCTTGATTGTTGATAGCAGTACTCTCATCTTTATTTCCTTTGTTCTAGTAAATATTTAGTCAGGTGCTTATTTTACATTATGAACTTTTTATTACTATTTATTTTTTATTATCAGGTACTCAAGTTTTATGTTTTGTTAGTTAATTAGGGTTAGTGATAATTTTTTTATATGAAAAATCCATAGCCCACTATTAAAATTCTATGTTTCTCAATTTTGAAGCATTTTTTGAAAATTTTATATTTATACATTATGTATCATTTTGAAGAAGAAAAAAAAAAGAAATTTAATGACCTAATAAAATACAAGGTGTTCCATTTGAAAAATTATAAGTATGAGTCGTATCTCCGAAATCATACACTGAAAAAAAATTTTCAGTGCGCCACTAGATTCTGCATAAAATTGTCTATGGGATAAAATTTCAATCTATCATAAGTTTGAGTCATATCTTCAAACCATACCCCGAACAAAAATCGAGTGCGCCACAAAATATGATTAGGCCATCTTGAGATTCACAAAAAAGTTGCACAGGACCGCGAAAACCGTAAGGTTCTCTCTCCAAAGATAACTGAGATATCACGCAAAAGAATCGAAAACTGGACACACTGTACATATAGTGAAATTTTGGGACATTTAGAGAATAGAAAAAAAACCACGTCATCACTGGGGTAACCATGATGTCACGAAAAATAGTTATATGTCTGTCAATGCATGTTGTGAAATGAATTGAAATTGACCCGTTAAAACATGTGAAGACTCGGGTGGATATATTCACTATATAGGGTGAAAACAAATGAAATCAAGTATATCTGATATTATACACCAGGTGAAACAGTTGAACTTTTCCACCCTAAACTTTTAAACAAATTATTCAGTGAACAATGAATAATCATTGGGTGGGTTGATTCAAGTATGAAACCTGGTATAATTTGTTCAGATCCAAAGTCTCATAATCCCCATAAAATTGCGAGTTATTGAATTTGCATATGTCTGACCTTTGGTTTGACTGGTGAAAGTTAATTCCAATGTATTTAGATAAATGGAAACAAAACTATTGTATAATCAAAATGCATTAAAGAAATGAACTTCAAAATATGGAAAATATCACTTGAGATCAAACCAAATTTCAATATGATATTTTCATAATAGACATATCAGGGTAGGTACAGTATCATTCAGAATGTTGAAATACATAAAAAAACATAAATGACATCTCGCTGAGGTTAACAGCAATAAAAAATCAAAATTACAGCACAAAATAACCGTTTGGTCAACTTTTAATAAAATAAACATAACTAACAAATTGGAAGATGTAACAAACAAAAAATGATGGTGTTCAGACATCAACACATAAGGTCATTCATTAATCAGTCACTATAGAAAAATAATGTTTTCTGTGATCATCATTAGAAAACAATAATTAGAAAAAGAAAAGAAAAACGTAAATTAAATGCATTAAATTTAAGTTTCCAATGAACTCATGGATTGATGAGATTCTCATTCTTCAACTAGGCACTCTCTAAAATGAGAATCACATAATAAAAAAGTTCACAGTTTCCCTGTGAATAAACTATATCTAAACTTTCAACAATATTCAGGTCAGTTACTGAACAACAGGTGAAGACACACTAACAATTGTCATCTGTAGGCATCTTTTGTATGTTTTGAGGCAATCATAAAGTAATTCACGTTCAGATCTTGCTTCAATTCTTGCATATTTCTCCATTGCACCCAAATTGTTGAGATGCTGTGTTCTTCATCTGATTCTTGAAGTTGATGACCTAGTTTCCAAAAATATTATGATTAAATCAATGTGGTTGAAACTGAATACATACTCTGAGGAAAACATCGTAAATTATGAAAAGAGTACATTTTCTAGAAGATTGATAAAACCACCTAAGAGGCTGAATATTTGATGAAATTTCGTTGTTACCATATTGTTACTAGTTCAATCATATTTCTTATTGAAAGGAGGATGTTAGGAACATGATGTTCAGGTGTTAGGAATCGGAACGGATGATTATTGGTACGACCAATCTCGAATTCCAATAAAGCACATTATTGAAGTACCATAGAATGGCGTATCATTTAGCTAACCTATCTTTTATTAATTAGAGAATAACTAGCATATACAACACTATATGCAGATGACTTAACCTCTCTATTCAATGATAAAACAGATGATCTCAAATAAATTTGACACAACTATTAATCATCTTTGTAACTGGTTAAGTGGAAATTCTGTATGTTTTAATGCTTCTAAAAACAAGTTACATCAGCTTCCATACACAACAGAATACTAAACAAACTAATATTAAAATTTCGATTCGAGAAGAGGAAATAGAAAGAAGACAAAACGGTATTTCTGGATAGTACCCTTGAATTTAAAGTACTCTAGAATTTGAATCTCACTGCACTAACTGGCCTGGCTAGCTACCCACATGCATGGTATAACAATATGGGGTGGCACTTCATATTCACAAAATATATTCAAAGTGCAAAAACGAATCAGTCATGTAAACCCCTAGAAACACTAAAAACACAGCAGACTCGGAAGAAATCGCCGAAAATACCAACAGACCAAGACATTATTGGTCTTTTCAACCGGAAATTTGATGATTTTCAGAAATCACTCG